CCAAGGAAAACCTTTTATGTTTTGGGATCAGCCTTACATGTATCTTTTTATGAATCTAACAAGTGCAGGTACTTAATATTTTGTCACTAGAACTGTATATACTCTGAATTATAATTATACATGTATAAAATGTATTGCCTTTTTAAAATAAATACAAGATCATATTTAAAATAGACATTTCTCTGTGTCTTGCTAGTCTCACAATGCAGCATGAAAATTCCACCAAATCAACAGGTCTAGCTCTGACTTACTGTTTTTAATGCTTCCATAATATTCTATGATAAGGAGACGTTAGTTTAACTACTAACTCTGTCTCTCCAGATGGGCATGCATGTTGTTCCTAGTTTTGTTATCATGAACAGTGCTGCCAACAACAATTTTTTTGTAGTAAAACCCTTCAGTGCTTGGGTTTTCATTTCTGTGACACAGATTCTAGGAGCGGGGTTGCTAGATCCAAGAGTGTGTGCAGTTTTAATTTTAATAAATATTGCCAAATTGTATCCTTCCCCAAGGGTTCTTACTTTATATGTTTTTGTGGATGTCATGGATGAGCAGTCAGCTCTCAATGGCAAAAATTGGTCCAAACCTGCCAGGCCTTCCTCTGCCTGCTAAGTCTCTAGTGAATTGGGTCCAATCAGAGAAAAACAGCTCAAGCTGGTCCAAACCAAATCAAAATGGGATAAGGCAGTTCAAGCTTACAAACCCTTTCCACCTTTCCAACTTTTTTCTAAGAAAGCCACCACTTGAACAAGCAGCGCACGTTCCCACGGCCTGAGCGCCGGTCAGCCGACCTCACGTGGCCGCTGTCCCCCACACGCTGCAGCACCAGAGGTCTAGATGCTCAAAGACATGGCAGTGCTTTGATCAGCCTGAGTTCTGTGGGTTGTAAGAAAACCACCTTCACACTAACAGACTCAGAGGGGATTTCTTGGCAGGAAAGTGAGGCATCTCAGGGAACCCAGGAAGAGCAACTAAGAATCGGAACGCCGTGGGGAACTAAGGCGGCCACTTCTCTCATTTGTCTCTTCATTCTGGCTTCATTTTGAAGTGGAAATCAAGGCTCAGGTGGGAATATGGCTTGTTTAGAGCCAGCAGCCCATGAGGAGCGGTGCCGCATCAGGGACAGGGGGCTCCCCGTGTGGGGGCCTGTGGGTTGGAAGCTGATGTGGGCTGCCGGGCTCTGGCTGTGGCGAGTGCTCTGACCATCCAGGAAGCCCGCAGGCTGTCAGTGGCTCAACTGCAGGCCCACAGTGACTTCGGTTTCCTCCTGAGGCCCCTGGAGCCCTGAGAGGTTTTGTGGAATCTGAAGCTTTATAGCTTGGGGGACTTCTTTAAGATTTAAGGAGGGAAATACAAAATTGCTGTGAGAGCCATCCTCAAAAGGGGCTTAATAGGGTAAAAGGCCTGGAGGTTTAGGTTTCATTCACTTCATCATCTGACTGCCTCTGCTCTTTAAGCAGCGGGAAGCACAGCCCTTGGAGAAGGTCCTGGCATTCTCCGCACGCTGCTCCCCGCTTGAGGCCATCTGTGGCTTTAGGGCGGGATCCTCAGGCTCCAGGGTGAGTACCCGGGAGCTGAGGTTTGGGGAAGGCTAGAGGAATGTGAGGCAGTCACTGCAGAAAGCCAGAAAGTAGACTGCCACCGACTGTGTGACCAGAGCTTGAGAGAGAAGTCACAGTCACTGAGGGAGGGGCCATTCCTGAAGAGGAGGAGCAGACGCCAGACAGCCCCGGTCTGAGAAGTCAGCTTGAGCCTTACAGGCTCCCTTCCTGTTCTGGAATACTTGAAACCTCTCCACACCTCAGGGCCTGTGCAGTGGCTCTCCCCTCTGTCTTGGGTGCTTTCTCCAGCCCTTCCCATGGATGGCTTCTCATCTTTCAGGTCCCCAGACACCAAGGGCCCACTTTAACCCTCCCCAGAGGGGCCAAGTCCACAAATAGCTCTCAGTGCTTAGGGCTGCCATTCTTGATTGGCTGCAGATGAAGCCTACCTGGTCATCAGCACATCTGCAGGGCGGTTTCTCTTTTTCCATCCAGGTGTTCGAAGCCCTGACTGCACAACTGCTGCCCTACTCCCGGGCCACAGGAAAGCCCCCAGCCCGGCCCTTTCCGGGAAGGAGCAGAAGCCTGTCATGGAGGGGGCAGGAGGACAAACTCCCCTGGAACCAGCTAAGGGCCCGAACCCTGAGAGGACTGCCTGGGCCAGCTGCACAGCTTCCGGGCTTCTCCTCTCTTCTCATAGAAGAGAGGCTCCCCCTGACTCCCATTAGACAGTGTTTCTCAACTGAGAGCAGTTTTGCCCCCAGGGGACACCAGGCGATGTTTGGAAATATCCTGGGCTACTGCAACTGGGGGCGGCTACTGGTGTCTTGCGGAGCGTGGCCATGGATGCTGCTGAACACCTTACAGCGTACAGTTCAGTCCCCACAACCAAGAATTCTCCAGCCCAAAATATCAACGGTGAAGATCCAGGCTCTTTCGCTTGTCACTCCAAGCCCCTACCACCTCCTTCTCCCCAACCTGAAGCCTCCAGGTTGGTCTGTGTAGTGTCACCTGCACAAGCCACTGTCCTTCAGCCTCCACATTCCTCCCTCATCCGTACTCCCCCCAACCCAACTCTATGCCTCTGCCAATGGCACCACCTCCAAGAAGTCTTCCCTGATCTTCCCCACAGATTCTCCAGCTCTGTGGACAGGCACCGATGTCACTTAATATTATATGTCATGTCACTGATGTCATGTACAGGTGAGGACCTCAGATGGTGTGATCAAGAAGAAACTTTGAGAGTCACGGAGTCTAGAGTTTGAAGGGCAGCCTCCTGGCCCGGGTAGCCTGCAAATGGATTCAGTGTGGTCTTCATGGAGATTTTCTTTTTAACCTTGAACCAGTCACCAGCCTGAAAACATCAGAAAACATGAAATCAAAGGCCATGTTCCCTGCTTCTCTAAACACCCCAAGAGCCGCTGCAAGGGCCCACATTCCTCCATGGCAACAATCAGCGGAAACAGAGGCGGCCGCCAGAGTGGACCCGGCATGGACTCCCCAGGTCACTGCGGGTCCGGCTGCCCCCCACCCCCGCCACTATCCTCACTCACTGTCTGGCCCCTGGAGGCACGGGAGTTTGAGACCTCCAAGCCAGTCCATACCCCCGACACACCCTTCATTTTATACAGGGAAACTGAGGCCCAAGAGAGAAGCTTGTCCAAGGTCACACAGCCAGTTAGTGGTGGCACACACCTAAGGATCTGGGGCCCTGCTTCCCACGGGGCCTCCTGTGAGCACCACACTGGTCTTCCGAGAATGTTGCACAATCTCAGAGTTTGAAGGGGCCCTAAGGACTTGGTGTGGGGATGTAACAGAAATGCAATTTCAGCTTCCTGCCACAATGAAAGCCAAACTCCTGAGACAGGTACAGGTGCAAAAGGAAAGAGATTTATTCATGTGCTGCAACCTAGGAGAACGCTGGACTCCCCTCTCAAAGGTCAGCCCTTCCACCTTGCTCTCAAACCCCTATAGTGATAGGGAGGAGAGAGATTTTTTCCTAACCAATTATCTTGCTAGCTTTTGGCCCTGTCCATTCATCTTTCTAGCTTTCGGCAGGCTCAGTGAAAGGATCTCCCTATGGCATCTTGGCCAGTGGGGGAGACTCCCCAGCTTTTCCTGGCTGTCTATGGCAACAGGGACAGCCAAGGTGCCATTCGCATCTCTCAGCATCACTCTTGCATTGGCAGAAGCTAAGAAGGGCAGCCTCTGAGCTCCTCCCAAAACCAGCGTCCTGGGGTCTGACAGTTTGATTCTGGGTGTGCTGGCAGCAAGCTCCATGTCTGATGCACTGCTAATAAGAAGGTACTCAGCTAGGTGTCAGGCACTGTCTTGCAGATATCAGCGCCCTTGATCCTCTCAGCCAGCCTCTCAGAGGTTGCCGTGATGCCCGTTTACTAAAGGAGGAAACTGAGGTTCAAAGAGGTTAAGCCAGTAGCCCAAGGCTGCGCAGCTAGTAGTGGTGAGGCCAGGATTTGCACATGGGTCTGGATCAAGGCGGTGTGCACCGAGCAGCAACGCCCCTCCAGGAGGCGCAGCCTGGGACAGGAAGCAGATGTAGCCAGGTCTAAGCCTCCACAGCAGCCCACCGCAGCATGCGGGTTCAGGCTCATTTTGAGGAAGCCCTTCCCAGCCCGTGAGAGAAATATTAACCACAGCCCATGAGCCGCCGTGGGAGGAAGGCGCCAGGGCCTGGGGGTATGGCTTGAGTTGTAGGGTGGGGGCGGGGGCCTGGAAGGACAGAACAGAGACCCCCGACCTTCCACCACTGAGATGGGACGACCTCTGGCCCCAGGGGGCAGGGAGACCATGACTCATCCAGAGTCAAGGCTCCACACCCAGGAGGTACATACCAGCCTCCAAAGTGGAACCCCGGGGCCTCTTCCCCCTTGGGTTGCCCCACAAGAGGCTGGGCCAGGCAACGCGCCTGTTCACTAGCACAAAGCCTCAGGCTTTCCTGGTGGTGACAAGGCAGTGGTTCGCCCACACTGTAAACGAGGAGGACTCCGTCCTCCCTCCCATTGGAAGCCCAAAGGGTGATTCCCTCTTGTGAGCCCAGTCCGCACGGTGAGGAAGAGCTGGAGCTGGGCCCCCGGTATCCTGGCAGCGTCCCAGCAGCGTCCCAGCCCCCGTTTCTCCCAAGATTCCTGGCTCCCAAAGCACTTTCCCTTCTGGGGTTCCATTTGCATCAAGTTGACTTGGAGCTGCTATTTTGTCCCATTTTACAGAGGCAGAAACTGAGCTTCAAAGAGAATGTGAGTTATGTTCTCTTGCAACAAGGACCCCTAATTCCACTCTGCCTGCCCCACCCAGGAGGCTGCTACAGGGTCCCCTCCCCCCCACTGGACAGAGCAGGAGACTGAGCAGTGGCCACTAGTTGGAGGGGGCTCAGTAGATCAGGGCCACTCTCTCACACCCTCACACGCACACACGGTCTCCCTGGGCCCGCCCCCCACTCACCACATGGTAGATAGCCAGGGCGGTGGTGGCGATGCGGACGTTGAAGCAGCAGCAAGTCTGGCGGATGGCCATACTGGGGGCCATGGTGCTGCTGTCCCCTCCTCCGAGACACTGAGGGGGAATAGACTCAGCTCCTGGAGCAGGACAGAAAAGGGCAAGCCAACTGCTGGCCTCCCTGCTTCTTTCTCAGACAGGCAGAGGTAAGGTCGTCTCACGCAGGGCAGGGCAGCTGGGAAGAGGCAAGGCCTGCCTGGGAGCACCACAGCTGGCCTCTGCCACTTCCAGAGGCGCTTCCCGGGGAGCGCTGACCCATGCACGGGGCACCATCAGCACCTACCTCCCGTGTGCCAGGGCTGGGGTTTACGCAGTTTCTGGATGCTCACCACCACCCTTGGGAGCAGGGATTGCTACCAAACCCACTTCCAGAGAGAGAAACAGAGGCCCAGAAAGATCAAGGCATTTGCCCAAAATCACACAGAAGTTAGTACTGGTGGCTGGATTCAAAGCCAGGAGGGGTTGCTCTGGAAGAAAGTCCATTGAAGAAAAGCGAGAATTCAGGGATGTGACAGTTTCTCGTTGGCTGAGCTGCTAGGGTAGTCAAATTCTTGTTGGAGATGCAACGTACATCTTTTCCTATTGGGATCTATAACCTATGATTCTCTGCTATTGACTATTCTATTGGGGTGTGTAATTGACAAAATTTTTCCAGCAATTGGCATGGAGTGGTACTGTGTGAGAGCTCCCCCTGCTGGCTTCTGACTGCATTTTAGTGAAGTTTCCTTTTATTAATTTTGACACCCTCTGGGGTGTCCAATCTTTTGGCGTCTCTTGGCCACACTGGAAGAAGAGTTGTCTTGGGTCATGCATTAAATACATTGTGACACGTAGTCACAAAAAGATCTCATAATGTTTTAAGTAAATTTATGATTTTGTATTGGGCCGCATTCATAGCTATTCTGGGCCGCATGCAGCCCATGGAACCCAGCCTATGCCTTCCCCCTTGCCCCATTACGCCGTCCTATCTGCTCTTCCTCAAACACTCTAAGCCCCTTCCAGCCTCAGGGTCTCTGCACTTGCTTGGGATTTTTTTTTCCAAACCATCCCACGACTGGCTCCTCCTTCAGGTCCCAGCTCAAATGTCACCCCATGAAAGAGGCTTTCCTTAACCACCCTTATGCCATAGAAATCTTTCCAGCTTTCCATTCCTTTATGTCCTGTTGTCATAATGCTTTTCACGATCTGAAATTATCTTATTTATTAATTTGGTGACCTGTTTAATGTGTTTCTCCTTAATATTTACTGAGCTCCTACTCCATCCCACCACATGAATGGCTCTTATCTTCAGCACCAAGAAGAGAGCTCACCCGTGCCCACCAAATGTTGGTTGAGAGGGTGTGCATGTAATCCAGGCTTTGAGAGAATGAACATTGGTCAGATGTCAGATGTCAGGTGTCATGGAAAAATAAGCGCAGAACAGAGGACTCGGTCCAGCTTAGAGGTCAGGACATCTGAGTGAAAACCTGAAGGGTATAGGTGCAGAGAACAGAAAACCCTACTCTAGCTGGTTTAAAGAGGAAGAAATGTGTTGCGAGTGTTAAGTGTTATAAATAATCTGGAGACCTGACGGAAACAAATTTGAGGTTGAGTTTTCAGGAGCAACTCCCAAAACCACACCGCGGAAGAGGGCTACCAAGGGACCGCCGCCTGAAGGCACTGGGAGCAGGGAGAGCCCCACCTGCCAGAGCCAAGGGGCACCACCCGCAGACGCACTGCCAGCCCCGCCTCTTGCCCTCCTGAACCTGCTGCCCATGCTCTGGAATTGGCCGTAGGAAAAAACAAAAGTCTGCATACAATATTTATCTGCAGAAACTCATACCTTTCAAAGGCCGTGTAAGTTTCTCCAACTGGCTGAACCTCACACCCAGGCTGAAAGGGAGTCCAGGAAATACGGTTTCTGCTTTCTAGCCCCTGCAGGCAGGCCCTGAGAAGAAGGGTGAATGGCTATCGAGTGCAGTCCATCACATGCATCATCGTGTGCATGCATGCGTGTGCTTATGTCCATGCGTGTATGTCCATGCATATGTATGTGCTGTGTACACATTTGCATGTCTCTGTATTTGAGCCCATGGGTCATATTGTGCCCAATTGTGTGCACACTAGTGTATATATGTGTATGTGTGTGATGGGGGGCAGTTGGGGGGAGTAATGGGCCATCAAGACCAGAGGGAAGGAGGCATTATCACAAAGACCATCACAGACACTTCCTCTGTGAGGACCTGGACCAGAGCTCTGCGGGGCCATTCAGCCAAGGTGAGCAAACAGGCTTTAACTGCCCAACAGTCCAATCCTACTGCCTTATTTTTTTAATAGGAAAAGCAAGTCCAGAGGAGTTCTGTCCCTTGCCCGAGATCATACTGCAAGTCATGGCATTGGCCTAAATCCCAGCCAGGCCCCCCAGGGGGTAAAGTTCATGTTTTCCACTTGACATGTGACCAGGCTTCCAGGGAGTTTTACATGAGGGACCCTCCCACACTGGGCAAGCAGCCCTCTGCCTGCTCCACCGGACTGTCTCTGGCCTTTCAGCAGCGTGCTCCCACGTACTTGAATAACAGCAAACATTTACAGACGCCTGCCCTGTGCCAGGCAGTACAGCCTGTGGTCGCTCATCGACATCAGGACCAGGCTGGGGGCCCTAGCCTGGAGCCTATGCGCCCCCACCCTGACGTCACTGTGCGCCTCCGGAGAAGGGCAGGCTGCTTCATCCAAGCCCCGCCACACCCTGGGACGGGGTAACATCTCTCCCATCTGACGAATGACGAGCCAGGGTCCAGAGGCAGGGAGGACTTGCCAGGGCCCCACAGGAGGATCCAGGCCACCTTGGCCACTCCCAAGCATGTTCTTCCCCATTTGCCAAGGCACCTGACCTAGAGCAGGTGCTAATGTCTATGACAGGAAGAAGGGGAGAAGAGTGACAAGTTCCTTGGCAGGACTCTGGGCACGAGACGGAAGTGGGCAGGACCTCGGGGAAGACACTAGGAGACGGCCCTCTTAGCCACCTAATGGTCCCCTCTCCACCCTGACTCTGGCCTCACCTCCCTCATGTGGGCATTACCCCCTTTCCTGGCCCCCCTTTCCTGACCCCCAGAGTCTCTTTATCCAAAGCCCTCCTTCCCCCACAGCCCCCACCCTCAGGCTCCCCATGACCCAGAGGAAACAGCCCAGGCCCCTCTCCCTGTCGTCTGGCCCCTCAGCCCCAACATTCCGTTCCCAACCACCACACCACCCCCCGTGGGGGGCTGCGCCAAGAATGAGGGGGCAGAGAACATGGAGGCACACACTGTGGCTTCTTTATTGGGCAAAGTCTTAGAGACTCTGTAAGGCACGGACTCTAGGAAGGTAAGGGGCGCCCTGGGGACGTGGTCAGGATACCAGTGCCTCAGTGCTGGGCAGCCCATCGTAGTGAGTGCTCCCGTGAGCGGCCCTGAGCATTTCTCTCCTTCTGGTCCCTCTCCTGGGGAGCCTGGGAACGAGGGGCCCTTTTTCCCCCAAGAAGGGGAGCATAGGTGACCAGGGACAAGGGGAAGGAAGAGGAAGCCCTGAGGTTCAGGGGCAGCAGAGGGTAGGGCTCAGGCATGGGCCTGATGCTCCTCATCCCTGAAGGCACTAAGAATAAGGCGCCCAGCTGAAGGGCAAGTGCTGGAGGCGGGGCAGGGGCAGCCTAGCTCACTGTCACTGAGCCCCGCGGCACCAGGCGGGCAGGCTGCAGCGGGCTGCCTCAGCTGAAGTCGCGGTTGGGCAGGAGGAGCGGCGCTACCAGGGTCCACAGGTAGAGGAAGAGCCCGGCCCAGCTGGCGCAGATCTTCACCCACACGGCAGTCCAGGTGCTGATCATCCTCTGGGTCTCCCCAGGCCTGGAACACACCCCCCCACCCTGCAGTGAGCCCGGTCCCCAGTCTTGGGACCTCAGTCCTGGCCCTGACTTTATGATCCAGTTGTGATCCCTGACTTCAACTTTGGCTCTGATTCTGTAACTTTAGTCCCTGTCTCTCGTGTTTTTGACACTTGACCTTAAGACTCTAGACATAGCTCTTGACCTTGTACCACAGAACTGACACTGCCTGACCTCAGTTCCAACCTCAACCCCAGTCCTAGACCATAATATTGTGACCTGGCTTCTGGTCCCTGACTTCGGGGCCCTAGGGCTCTAGACCTTAATCCTGACCTCTAATCTTGACTCTGACCCTCAATCCTATAACCCCATTTCTGACCCCTGATCTTATGACCACGGTTTTGATACCTGACCTCAGTTCTGGCCCTTAACCCTGTGACCCCAGTCCTGGCCCTTGACCTTGTTACTCTGATCTTAGCCCCTTGCCTTGGCAATTTCAATCCAGGCTTTATGGCCTCCTAACCTCAATTTTAATTACATGACCAAATTTGTGACTTTATATGGACCCAATTCCAACTCTTGACTTCATTATTCCTATTCTTAACCCTGTGACTTTGATTCTGACCTCCACACCCGAATCCCAACCCTCCAACCATGAATCCCAGATCTGACCCCATAAGCCAAGTCACCACGCCTGACCTGTAAACACGGTCTGCCCTGCACAGGCCCGGCCCACCTCCTGCGATCCCCACCTTTCAGGCACTTGTGGAGGTACCAGGAGCTGAGCCGTCACCGGCAGGGAAACCAGGTAACGGATGGGGCAGGCTCCATGGAGGGTCCTAGATAGACTCCTCCATGCCCAAGCCTTGAGCAGGCATTAGGAAAACCCCAGTGAGGAGCCAGAACAGAGATGTGTGGCACTCCGTCCCCTGCCCCAGGCACTGCAGGCTCTGCCCACACCGAGCCAGGCTGCACGCACCTGTACCAGTTGGTGAGCGTCATCATGATGTGCAGGGAGGCGAGCACCAGGCAGAAGTGGAAGAAGGAGTAGCTGTAGGCAACGCCGTCCTGCTCATTGTCAAAGGCCCGGCCCACCACCTGCTGCTGCTCCTGCTGCTGCATGACCTCCACGGCGGGCGGGCACTCCTCAGTCCGCATCAGGCTGTTCACCTGCCGGTGGTCCGAGGCGCGAACGCTGCGGGGGAGGGAGGCGGGGGCTGTCAGGGCGGTAGCCTCTGAGGTGGGCAGGTATGCGGTGCCAGGGGGCCTCGCAAGCCATTGCCCTAGACGTAACAACAATGGGCACGATGGTCCCAGGCCTTGAGTGGCCTGGTGGTTATGTCCTGTGCCCAGGAATTAACAAACTGATTCGACTCTCAGCTCTACCCGCACTCCCTTCATGAACTTGGGCAAGACACTTGACCTCTCTGAGCCTCAATCAGGTACAACAGTACCTCCCTTACAGGGTTGCTGGGAAGGTTAAACAGAATAATGATGTAAAGTCCCTAGCACTGTGCCTGGTACAGAGTATAAATAAATAAACCATCACTGTTATTCTGGTTGTTCATTTGCCATTTCCATTAACATGTATTGAGTACCTTGTACTGCAAAGCACCATACCAGGAACTGCAATTTTTAATAATGTTAATAATTAACAATACTCAATTGCTATTAAGTTTGTTGTCCTTTTATTATTTTAGATAAGTAATCTTACCAATTACCTCCCCTTCATGTTTATAATTTTTAAAATAATAAGAGTAATGAATTTTCAGTCACTGCTCTTCTATAATGAGGTCTTGATGTTGTTAACAGTTAACAGTTTGCACGCACACACAATTTTGAAAATCCACCTTGTTGGGCTGCAGTTGACCCCACTCACCAAAACAATTTACACATGAGCTCACAGCTGGGCGATCTCCCTGAGGTAAAAGCTGCTTTGCTTCTTTGCTTCCTATGTTTTAAGAGCTAAGAACACACAATCCCCTGGGCTCTCAGGGTGCTGTCCAGTGACCCCAGGTCAGAGAGGTGTGAGTATGAGAAGCATCAGGAAGCACAGGTGCCTGGGTGGGCTCAAGCCCGCGGCCGCTGTGTGCACTCGGCCTCAGACAAGTGGCTGCTCAACACTAACCCTCATTTGCCTCTGGAATGGAGGCGATATGGGCCATCCCAGATTGGAAATAGAATCAACTGAGGTGACAAAGACCAGAGATGTTTGCAAACTGCCCAGACCTGACTTGGAGAAAATGTTTTCAAAGAGGCCCTCACAGAACGAAATGTGAAACAGCCTCAGAACGTTCTAGCCCAGGGCACAGAGGCAGGGGCAGTGCCCCTGGAGAAGCGGGGCAGAGGTGCCCTCCATGGGGCACAGGGCAGACAAAGGAAGCGGGGCCTGGGGAAAGGCTGGGCCACAGAGAGGCGACATCGAGTCTGCCAGATTCGGGTAAGCAGAGTTACACTTGAGCTTACCACGGGGTGGGGGGCAGCAAGGGGAAGCTTACAAAACAGGCACTCACGCCCAGCTGTGCAAAGGTTCACAGCTATTTGCAATTAGCAGCAATACCTATTTGGTGGCTGCCACTTGTCAAGTTCTTTTCTAAGTGCCTTATACTACATATTAACTCACCTACAACCCTACAACAATCCAATGAAGTAGGTATTGTTTTTATCCCTAACAGGTAAGGAAACTGAGGCACAGGAAAAGTAAGTGACTTTTACAAGATCACACGGCTCGTAAGTGGCAGTGCCGGGTTCATATGCAGGCAGTCAGGTTCCTGAGAAGCACTTGCTAAGACGCCTCTTTAAAAAAAGTTGTCATGTGATCTCAAGAATGAGCTGCTCTCTCTCAGATGAGAGTGTAGGGTTCCAGCCACCTGGACGTTGGAGGTTAACATCCTCCCTTTACTAAGGAGGAAACTGGAGCTCAGAGAGGTGAAGCCACTTACCCCAAGGCCACGCAGCAGGTGAGGGATGGAGCCTGGACCCGCTGGTCCCAGGCCAGGCTCTTCCCCTGACCTCATAGTTGCCTGCACCCAAATGAGCTGAGCACAAGGCAGCCCAGTGTGCGGGAAGGGGCCCTGGGCCCAGGGCAGGGCTCAGCCCTGCCTCGGCTGCCCAGTCACCCCGTGCTCTCTGAGGGGTTTTGTTTCCCCACTAGCACAACGCAAGGGCTGGACATGCTGCTTCCAGCCTGGTGGCTCGCCTCCCACATCCTCCCTTCACTTCCGGCTCTGGGTCCCCAGCAACCAGACGCTGCCTTACCTGATGAATAAGGTGCACAGGATGAAGACGATGAGACCCACGATGCTCGGCGCATCCCACCACTGGGTCACATAGCCCTCAGGGCCTGTCAGGATCGTCCCGTTGTCAAAGTGGGGGTTGCATTTCTGGTCTGGGAAGAGGAGCACGGTCACCCTCAGCCCACGCAGGCCAGGTCCGAGGGCCCAGTTAGCCCCGAGGATGGGCAGAGAGCCAACCCAAATGGACAGGCAGACAGACACACCACGCACCAATCCAGTCCCAGTGACAGGTGGCATTTAGCAGACAAAACAAGAGACAGCCCCGGAGTCAGATGGGGTCCTCCCACTTCCCTGAAAGACTAAGCCTCAGAATGGGCTGGGGCTGGGATGTCCCTGTCACCTCTGAGGGTCCCCACCCTCCCAGAGGGTTACTGCTAGCCCAAGAACAAGACCAGGCCTCCACGAACTCAGGCCTGTACTCACCAGGGACATTGGACAGCGCCAACCAGGTGACGAACATGGTGTAGAGCGTGACAACGGAGGCCTGCAGCAGACCCGAGTTGGGCTGGGCGTCCTGAGAAGAGCAGCCGTCAGTATGAGCCTAGCCAGGCTCGGGGACACCCCCACTCAGCCAACAAGGGGACCACAGAAGCCCCTCCACCCGAGGGCCATGCACGCCACAGCCTTCGGGAAAACACACAACCCAGGGCGCCCACTGCCCACCTAGCCTGCCCAAAGGTGGGGTCCTGACTCTTCCTCCTAACAGATTACCCCTTTGCCTCTCTGCTGAGAACGCTGCAAGGGTGGCGTCCCTTCGCCCTCTGAATTAAAGCCCTCCCTCATTTGTCCCACCTTCATCGCCACCAGACACCCCCACCCGCGCTCCTCCCTGCTGACCTCAGCCCAGCCACAGGGGTCCCCGCACCGTCTGGACCGCGCTGCGCCCTGTCCCACCTCAGGGCCTCGGTACTCACCGCGCCCTCCCCGACACGTTCCTTCCCATATCTCTGCACGGGCAGCCCCTCTTTAGCTTTCAGGCCTCGGCTCAAACAAGACCCCCAACAAGGCCTTGAAAACCCTGCCTAGAGCAGCCCTGCCCTACCTGCCTTCTAGCCCACGCCCTCTTTTATTTCCCAGACGGCACTCATCCAAAACCACCTTACTTTGCCCGCTCTATTGATGATTCTTCCCCGCCCTTCACCACACACACACTTGAAAATACGGATCTAAACTGCGTAATGAACAGCATACGCTCTGGGGCCAGTCTGCCTCGGTTCAATCCCAGCTCTACCCCTTACAGCTGTGTGACCTTAGGCAGGTCTCTTTACTCCTCTAAGCCTCTGTTTCCTCATCTGTAAAGTGGGGACAATGATGGTGCAAGGACTACATGATGTGATAGGTGCCATTAACTGTTAGCTGTTATGATTGTTCTTCCTCCTTTTCCTCACAGCTGCGTCCCCAATATCAAGAAGGGTGCCCGGCACGCAGTAAGGGCTCAAAAGGTGCTTGCTGCATGAATACTGATTGCTGTGTGACCCGAAACGGAGGCATCGGCCTCTCTGAGCTTCCATTTTCTCAATGGGAAAAGCAGACTCTGACCAGAAGGGAGGTTTCAAAACTTTCTGCTGAAGACCCCCAAAGACTTCCTAAGCTCCCTTTGAAACTCCTGATGGGCTCAGATCCCAAACTGGGAAGTACCACTGACTCCAAAGGCTTTCTTTCTGAAGAACAAACAATTATTTGGGAATCCCCACCCACTACCCCAGATGGTCTGGAATCAGAAACTGTGGAATTGCACCTCCTAACATCACTTCTTCAGGTGTCTAAGAATCACTGTTCAGTGACCCTCCCTAATGTTCTCCTAATTTACATAAAAACAACAATAATGACAACGATAGCCAATGTCTGATGGGTATCTATAAGGCAGGCGCTGTTCTAAGTGTTCACAAGTACTATCTCAATCCTGAGAATAACTCTGAATAGTAGCTATTATTATCCCCATTTTACATTTGAGAAGAAAGAGGCACAGAGATGTTAAGGCACTTCCCCAAGGACACCCAGCACGTAGATGTGAGAGCCAAGACGCTAGCCCAGGGAGGCTGACCTGCGAGCCCACACTCCTAGCCCAAGCCCCTGTGGTGAACAGCCCTGCCCCAGGACCCCAAGGTTCCCACAAGACATCCCCCACCCCAGCGGGCCTGCTTTCAGGCCGGGGAGAGACTGGCAAGCTCACCTGGACCTTGGGCAGGACGGAGATGATGGAGATGCAGACACAGAGAGTGAGGTTGAGGCTGATGAAGACCTTGCCCTCGGAGCAGGCACCGGGCTGGGTGTAGTAAATGAAGAGCAGGGTCACGGCCGCAATAGACAGCGAGTAGAAGAGGAGGGTGAAGCAGAAGAGGCCTGGGCAGGAGGGCAGCAAGCAGTGGGTCAGGAGGCACAGGAACCCCCGCTCTCTCAAGGGGGCGCAAACCTGTCTTAGGCCTCGACTTTCTCATCCAAGGAATGACATCCGTGTCTCCCGAACTTGTATCATTCACCAACCCCTTTGTGAGTTTTTGCCCCATCCCGAACTAAAATGATTCACTCTTCATAGACAGAGTAACCGTGAAAATAAACACAACGAATATAAAACAGACAAAAGTGAACTAGACGTGTGGCGATCTGCTGAGGCCCACCTCCGGCTGTCAGGGGGACCAGCAAGGTTGGAGAGGAGTGAAAACCCAGCCTGCGCCTCAGTGAGCCTTTTAGATGGACTCAGAAGAGCCAAAAGAGACTCCGACAGGGACGCTTTCTGCCAGGGGGGTTTCTATCTTTTTAAGTTTTTTGGTTTTTAAGATTAGAGAGGCAACTCTTTTCTAATATTTTATTTATCTATTTTTAGAGAGGGGGAAGGTAGAAAGAGAGGGAGAGATACATCAATGTGTGAGAAACACTGATTGCCTCTCTCAAGCCCCCAACGGGGGACCTGGCCCGCGACCCAAGCAAGTGCCCTGACTGGGAATTGAACCAGCAACCTTTCGGTCTGCAGGCCAGTGCTCAACCCACTGAGCCACACCAGCCAGGGCTACCACTGAGGTTTCAATGACTAAGTGTCACTTGAAGTCCGGTCTGGACTGGCTGTGAGTGGCCTGTTCCACAGGAACTGCTGAACTAGGCCCCTCCGAGGCCTCTCCAGCTGCTCTCTCTGATCCCCAGAAGTCACCCTGGACTCGGCTGCCCCTGCCCACACCCACCCCCTTCCCTCCAGCCGCCTCGGAGGTTCAATGCCTACACTAAGGCGGGGGCTGCCTGAGATGCCCTCCAGGCTTTCATCAAGCTTCAAAGACGCCCCTAATTCCTCGAGTAGCTCCAGCCCTGCACGAGGCCAGCTGGTGGCACTGACCTGCGTACCACGCACGGGAGTCACATTCCTCGGCCTTGCCCAGCCACTGCTGGTTCCAGGAGTGCGCAAAGTCGATGAGCAGCACCAGCTGGATGAGGATGAAGATGAAGGAGCCCACGACGCCAAAGTAGAACCAGACTGGGTGGGGAGAGGGGAGTGAGGCGAGCTGGTCCGGCCACGGGGCAGAAGCCTGGGCTGTAGGGCCCCTGACCCACCAGGCTCCCGGGGGTTCCTGGGGCGGCCCCTCTCACACACACATTGATTCATTCCACAGTCATTTGTGCCAAGCCCTGCACCGGGCACACTGAGAAAAAGCAAAGTCCCTACTCTCAGAGAGCCCTGAGCCCTGCACAGAGACAGAGTGTGGCAGGGAATGGCTCCGGGAAGAAGCAGGTCCCCTCATTCCACTCCCCACCCGAAGTGGCACAAAGGCCACATGGCCAAGCACCAGAGCGCAGGGTCCTGACTAGGATGAGGACGCAGGCGGCAGCCTGGGGTCTGGGCCCAGGGCCCAGAGCAGCCGCCACCAGCGCTCCTCCCTCAGGGACCTACTCCCCTCCTGGTAGCCTCCATCCGCCCCTCCAAGACCACCTACTGTCGGAGAAGGAGTCGTCGGGGATGTAGAAGGCGCCCACGGTGATGCCCACAAAGATCAGGAACTTAAAGAACCAAAACCTGTCAGGGTGGGGATGAGGACAGATGGGAGAGCTGAGCAGGGTTAGCGGAACAGGCCCGACCCCCAGAGCCTCACCCCCCAAAGAGCAAGTACTGGGAGGGGTGAAAAGGGACTTTTCCAATGGTCTGATGGGCACAGGAAGTCTGTCCTAGCCCTAGAAAAAGCCCCAAGGGGCAGAGGGAAGGACCAAGTAGGGGGGAGGGTAGTCACCAGGGTTCTGTCCCCTACTGTGTCCCTAAATGCTGTGTGGCCTTACATTGTTGTTGCCCTTTCTGAGCTTTAGTTCCTCCTCTGAGAAATGGAAAGAGCTGAATGAGCTGACCTCTGCTGCAGGGGTCTGGAGGCATCTGGAGATGGGCAGGGGACGGGGAAACCACTGTGGAAGGGTCCGGACACAGGCGGAGCCCCTCCCTCACCCGTTCTGGACGGCAGCCCTGGGGTCCTGGCTGCTACGCACGCACATCATGAGCAGCATGAAGAGGAAGAAAAAGGCGGCTGTGGCGAAGCACATGCGGTAGACAGCTCGGTAACCGAGCAGGGAGCTACAGTCAATGTGGCTCAGCTGGACGATGGGAGTCCCGGACCCCTGCTCACACGCCCAGGGCAGCTGTGCAGACAGACAGAGCAGCTTGATGGCGCGGCCCCGCCCTGCTGGCCCGGCCCAGGGAGGCTCTCCCAGCAGGGGCTGGGCCTCCCACCTCTGGGCTGAAGTCCTAGGAGTGGGGCCCCCCCACCAGACAGCCGGTCCACTTACTTGTTCCTATGGGCCCACTTTCTTGCCATCTTGCCCACGTCTCAGGATGCATGGCACTGCCTAAAGCAGGATTTCCCAAAGTGCACTCCACCCCCCACCTACACCAGAATCCTCTGAGATTCTTGGGGAAAACAGATTCTGAGGCCCCTCTCCTACAGAACTAGAGTCTCCAAGGTGGGTCTGAGACTGCATTTCCAGCACATCCCCAGGGGACTCATACCTTTATGCACACCAAAAGGTCACAACCCCTGGCCTAAATGTCCCACTGGGTCTATGCCAGGCCAGCTGGGGCCCCCAAACTGGGCTTGGGCATTAAAGAGAGGACAGCTTGCCCAGGCCAGTGTTTTAGGGCAATAATGATTAGTAGGATTTTCCAAAAGGACCACGGCTTACAAGAACCAAGAATTGCGTGTGAGGCTCAATCCCTCCTTCCCACTTGAAGAAACGCACGGGAACCCTCCTGCCCACTACTCCCCTCTTCTTGATCTGCTGGGACCCCAAGCCCGGGCCCCTTAGCAGCTGAGCCGTCCCCAGAGGCCAGGTCCCACAGGCTGCTCCGTCTGCTCACCCCGCCCGCACCCCCACGCTCCCCCCGGGGGCTGCTCACCTTGTGGAGCTGACTCTCCACACCGGGGCTCAGCATGATGACGGACACCAGCACCCCCAGGAAGAGGAAGAAGGTGAAGATGAGGCGGCTGATGGTGGAGTTGCGGCTGGAGGGGCAGCAGCCACACAGGATGCAAGGGGCAGAGCCGCAGAGGCAGGACGCCTACAGGGAGGACGGGGATGGCACCCTTATTCCCTGCCTCCTTCCCCAGTCTGTGCCCAAGCCCGCAGCACCCACCACTGCCCATTCGATGCCTCCAAACAGGCACCGAGCCGCCTGTGCCGCGCCAGGCAAGTGTGAGCCCACTTAACTTCCAAGCCTGGGGGGGGCGCCAAGCTTGGAAGGGGCTGGGTCACACACAGTCACACTGCCAGCGAGGAAAAGAACCCAGATTCAAACCTAGGTCTGTCTCAGGGATTCCCGTGGCTTCAGAGAGAGAGAGAGAGAGAGAGAGTTGGGTCACACTGTTTCTTACTTACAGGGAATCGGAGCAGGAAACAAATAAAAATAAAATTTTAAAAATCAAGAAGGCCGGCTCATCACTGATGACCTGTGCAACCTTATACAGCTCATCCAACCTCTCTGAACCTCCGTTTCCTCTCCCATAAAACAGGAATCAGAAGGGTACCTACTCCTCACATGGCAGTTGTAAGAAGGAAACAGAAGTTTTCAGTCATAACCTCCTCAGACTCCCTTCCCCTTCCTTGCTTCCTTTTTCTCCATAGGACTTGCCTGACTATCATCTGTGTAGATTCATATGCTTGTCTGCCTCCAATTTCTAGCATGCAAGCACCCCCAGGGCACCAATTTTTGTCTGCTTTGCTCACTGTTTCCCAGAAATTGGAACAGTGCCTAGCACATAGTAGGAGCTCAGTGACTTTCCGATGAATGAATGTAAAGTGTTTGGTGTAGTACCAGACACACGTTAAGACCTCAGGAAAGAGCAGAAAAGCACATGATAAACACCTGTCAAATGAATGAACAGAATGAAGACTTGTGAGTGGCTGGGATTTCCCATTCTGGGCCTGGACCGGTTAGGGACAGCAGTGGCGGTCTGACCCCTTCCCTGTCCAGGCTCCTCGGCCCAAGCTGGCGTTGGCCCCTCCCCCATCTGGGGCTGACTGTAATCATTTAGGGGCTGGGGATACCACGCTTTTCATAGCTGGCACCCCGGTAAGAGCCTCACCTCTCCCAGGAGCTCGGTCGAGCAGCCCAGCCTCTGAGGAAAAGGGCCCACTTCCGGTTACATCTGCTAAACTGTTTACCTTCCCACAAACAGCGCCAACTCGTCACCCAGGTATTTAAGAGCCTAGACAGCAAAGAGTCTAGAAAGGCACAGGCCCCACCCTCACAGAGCTTCCAAGGGCAGAAACGACCCTCAGCAAGGTGTCACACCCATCAAGGTAAGCACCTGGGAAGGGAATGGGAACGTGTGTGCCTGTGTGCCACCAGGAGTGGCGGATGGGGGCCTAGTTTAGATTGCGGTTGACAGGACACTTCCCTGAAGAAGTGACAATTTAGCTGAGAGCTAACGAACGAGGATGCACTCTCCTGACCGAAGGCAGAGGGAATGGGGCCCGAGGTGGCGTCAGCAGGAGCTGGGCAACGGAGGAACAAAAAGAAGGACCTTATGGCCAAAGCCTCATGACAGGCAGCGAGTGGCACGGTCGGCCAGGCGGGCAGGGCCTGGCAGCCATGTGCCAAACCCTGGAGTTTAACAACAGCAGGCACGCACTCAGGGGGCTGAAGCAGGGTGGACCGGAACAGCCTTATGCTGAATGATCAGCTTTGGGGCAAACAGGTTACAAAGGGACCTTGCCCTTCTGAGACCCAGCACCCTGCTCTCTGGACTGGGCACAAGGTGTAAGGCACGTTCTGCTTGAGGTGTATCTGCCTTCCTGGATCCTCCTGCCCCCAGGCTGGAAATGCCCCTGCAAATGCTCCTTCTCACCCAGCTTTCACCTGCAAGGCCAAGGACAGGAATGCTAAATGACATGCTTGCAAAATGAAATTCTCCCTTGTGGTCCAAACTGAAACAGTTCACCCCTCCAGCAACTTGCAGCCCCCACCCCAAGCTCTGACTCCTATCCACAGCCACCTTTCGGAGGTGAGGACATAAGCAAATGCCATAAAAGTGTTCTGTAAACCACAGAGAGCATTTGGGTTATCAGGTAGAGCTGGCTATTAGCCCCCATTTTATAGATGAGGAAACAGAGATCAGAGAGGTTAAAAAACTTGCCACACAGCAAGCAGACAGCAGTGCTGAGAGTCAAGCCATGATAGTGACAGCTTCCCCGCATGAAGAGCCGCCTGTCCCAGGCGCTGTGGCAAGCGCCCTATATCTACATTGAGCCTCACCGGCACCATGATGTAAGTGTGCTGTAACCTCCCGTTTACAAATGCGGAAACTGAGACTCAGAGGTAATGTGACCAAGGCCACATGGCAAGTAAGCTGGGAGCTGGGGTTCGGCTCAGGGCTCCCTGCACTTTTGAAGTCCACGAACTTCAAAGGACTCTAGTGATGAGAACAAGCCCGCCGGTGCCAGAGAAAACCAAGGGAGATGAACAGGCACTGACCTCAGGAACCAGGTGCCCACGTGCCCGGGGCAGGGCCCAACTCTGGCTTGTTACTATTTCAGTTTAAGACATTTGAGATGCAAGAAAAGTTGCCCCACTGCAGTCAGGGAACCTGGCCTTTTAATTCACTCTGTTGTTTGGAAATCAAAATCCAGGTGTTCCTGACACCTGAAACCTCAGGATTTCCAAGGGCCTAGCCAGCAGCCACAGAGATCAGATCAGGGAGAGAAAAACACACACCAGCTCCCAGCTGCTTCCGGAGCAGCCTTGGAACATTCACACCTCCCGACAGTCCCTCCACCTCTGGAATCTCTCCTGTAAGAACCTCTTCCTACAGAAGTACCAGCGGCGGGATGAAGCGCAGATGTGGGCACACCAGTACGCTCGTAAGTCCACTCTGGCACTACTCACACCAGGGAAATAATAGGGGAAGATTGAAAATAAATGCCCAGCAATACATCACGGTACTCCTAAGAGGGATATGTCTGCTAAAGGGAGCAGATGGGGAGGTAACATGTAAATGGGTACACGTAACTAAATACATTAAATTACACCTCAATAGAGCTGGTTTCATTATTTAAAAATGAAAATTTTCAATTAAGGAACAAAAACTAAAATAGGCACAAACCTTTAGGTTTTATGAGCTTATTAGAATCTCAAGAGTCTGCAAGTGACCTAAGTGCCCAGGAACCAGGGGTGGCCCATTTATTCCATGGATGTTATAGAGACAGGCAAGATGAGTCACTACACGCAGAGCAACCTGGACCAATGCTTATGATGCAATGTGAAAGGCTGAGGCCAACTATGAAACTGCCCCCACCAAATGCACTCAGCAATGGAAAAGCACCAGAACAATACTAGCCTTAGCACCAGCCAGGTTCTCTGAACGGAGAACTCAGAACTTAGGAAGCTCTGGGTCTTAGAGTCTTCCAGCTGTAAAGTTGCTTGGCATGCAACCAGTCCAGCCTCTCTCTAATGCAGAATCACCAGTAAGGCAGCCGGCTATCCTCTGCTGCTTGCATACTGTCAATGACAAGGAGCTCACTACCTTCCGAGGAACTAAAGACAGCTCTGGAGCAGCACGTGGTTTGGCATGGTGGAAACAGGCTATTGCTGAGTCATTCATACTCCCCTGGCTGTTGCCAGAGCCAGGACATAGGTTCTTAGAACCATTTCTGGGGCACTAGGTGAGTGGGGTAGGCAGCTGAGGGCTGGGGCCACAGTTTAAAGCTGTTTTGTTTAAAACAAACTGGCCCTCCACTTCTGGGTATTATTCAAAAGAACTGAAAGCAGGCATTCAGGCAGATATCTGTACCCCCATATTCATAGCAGCATAGTTAACAATAGCCAAAAGGTGGAAGCAACCCAACTGTCCATCGATCTTTGAATGCGGTACATATGTACAATGGAATATTAGTCAGCCTTAAAAAGGAATAAAATTCTCACATGCTACAACATGGACGGACCTTGAGGACATCATGCTAAGTCAAATAAGCCAATCACGAAAATATAAACCATGATTCCACTGATATGAGGTACGTGGAGCAGTCAAATTCATAGAGACAAAAAGCAGAATGGCGGTTCCCCATGGGCCTGGGGAAGAGGGACTGAGGAATTCTTATTTACTGTGTAAGGAGTCTCCGTTTGGGGGAAGACGAAAACTTCTGGAGATGAACGGCAGTGATGGCTGCACTACCATGTGTAGTGTGCTCAGTGCCCCTCACCTGCATGCTTAAAACGGTTCCAATGGTACATTTCATGTTATGTATATTTTACGATAGCAAAAAATAAATAAAAAAGGAGGGGACAGAGAATTTTCAAGGAAGACTGGTCAGTTATCTAAGCGAGGAAGGGAAGGGTATTCCTACAAAGGGAACAACGCAAGCAAAGCTGAGAGGAATGTTGTATTTTCAGGGGAGCTGGGCAATAACAGACAGTACCACTCATGGAGATTGATATCATTAGGTTATATTTTTGTTAGATATCCATTTTAATATATATCATGTTTCTTAAAAATCACAAGCTCCTTGAAGACTAAAAAAGAAGTTAAAACAGTAAATTTTATGTCATGTCTATTTTTCTGTAATTAAACAAAACACTGCTCCCGGCAAGGGTGGGACGCCCTCAAGAGACTTTGTGAACAACTCTGTAATGGGCTGAGCCAGCCTAGAACCGGAAAGACGCAGGAAGAAGAAATTAGCCCCAAAGTATTCAGGCACAATTACTTTCCCCTGTGCATTGCTAGGAATAGAGGGCCTGGAGTCTTGGCTCTGCCACCAAGTTGCAATATGACCTTAGACAATCCTGCTTTCTCCTCTGTGGGACTCAGTTTCTTCATTCATAAAATGGGCTCCTGGGCAGAATAGGAAAGTGGTCCCGAGCCCAGGCTGTACTTCAGACAGCCTTGGTTCTGCCGATTCACCGCTCCCTTAAATGTACTCTAGAGAAATGTGCCTCTCTGAGGTGTCTGCAGAGTGCCAGCTTCACGCTGAAGATGTTGGCGTGCCCATCTCAGTCCCACTGAATCCCCAGAACGTGCTGAGAGGCAGGTACCATTGTTCTCTCCGCTTAACAAACAAGGAGGGAAAGGAAGTGACTGCCCACATCCCGTAGCAGAGAGGGGGCCAAGCCGGGCTCTGAGTCCAACCGGTCTGACCCAAAGGTCTTTCACACTCCCTGGCACATAGAAGGCCCTCCCTAAATACGTATTTGCTCACCATCTGTCTCACCGTGGGCTGGCTTGCCTGGTGATTCCCACTCTCTGCGGGCCCCCATCCGTCTTACCTCGTCCAGGCCAGACTCACCTTCAGCTGAGTACAAATGCTGACCCAGAGGGCCATGCTGGGCAGGTGCAAATGCCTCATGCTGGACGGGTACAGAAGTCTTCCCCACCCCACCCCCACCCATGTTCCCCACTAAGGATGCCGGAAAACCCCGTATTGGAGCTTCACTCCTGGGAGGCAAATCTCCATTGAAACAGGTTGTTATCAGTGTTCAGTAGCAACAACACCACCATGTAATACTGTGTGGCAGAGCAGACATAACATAAAATTTACTATTTTAACATTTTTTCTTCAAGGAGCTTGTAATTTAAGAATCATGATACATATTAAAATGGATACCTAACACATATAATCCTATTGATGTCAATCTCAATGAGTGGCCTTGTCAGAGGGAATAAATAAGAGCTAACGACCCAGTGAGAATTCTAGAATCTGACTCTTCCTTGGTATCAGTCCTTTGGATTCAGCTTCCCTCTCTGATTCCGCTTCCTCGTCTGTGAAATGGGAATAACATTAACCGCCTCACTGGGGTCCTTGGAAGGATTCAATGCAAGGATATCTGCAAAGTATCACTGCAGCCGCTGGCCTGCAGCTGGGCCTGCACCGCCTCTGGAGAGCTCTGGGCAGTGAGTGCTGGGCCCACAGTGAGGACGTCATACACAGTGGCTTCTCTTGGTATCGTTATCCAGAGTAGGATAACCATCTCACAGGGCTGCGGGGAGCCACTGAACTGGCATGGGTGAGGCGCTCAGCACGGTGCCTGGCGTGCAGTGGGTGCACAGCAAATGTCAGAGGTCAGAACCCTCGGGGGAGGCCACTGAAAGGGAGTCCCTTGCAGATATTAGACTCTCACTAAGTGAAACTCAGTTCGACCCTGGGCCGGCCCTGTCTCTCAGGCACCCAGGATGGGGGAAGAGGCGTGGATTACAAATCTGATTTTAACCCTGACTGCAGTTCCTCATCCTTTAACACTGTGTAACCTTAGGCAACTCAGCTACCTTTCTGTGCTGCAGTTTTCACCTCTGTGAAATGAGGGTTTAAACAGGCCGGTCAGGTCCCTTCTGGTCTCAGCATGGTAAGATTGGATGAGTCAGAAGCACTTGGCTTTAGAGGAAATGCTCCACCCACCTTTCCAAGATGATAATAACCACAGCTCCCATTTAGAGCGCATGCCATTGATTGGGCGGGGCACTTTTTAATCTTCCCAATACCATTATGGGGGAGGCAGATGGGGAGACAGAGGCACAGGACACTGGCAGGTCTCCCCTCAACATCCCCTACCCCCAGGCTAGCCCAGCCAGATCTGGTCAACTCCAGGGAAAGTCTCCCTCCTCCACCAGGAAGCAAACTCTTCCTGGCCAGAGACCCAGCCCAAACCTTTATTTCACTGGACAGGGAGGCATCTCATGGACCAGCTCTTGATTCCCCCTCCCCGCGCAGCAACTGCGCCGCCCCCCCACCCCCCGCCCAGATGAGGAAATGGAGGCTCAGAGAGGACAAGAGACTGTCCAGAGACCCACTCTGCAGCCTCTCTGTTCAGATACCGTTCTCAAAACATGGCTGTGAAGTAAATCTCTAGATCCCCCAGCTCCCGCCCCTACACCCCCATCCTAACACACACAAAGGAAAGCAAGCCTTGAGATTCAGCAGCCACCAGACCTCCCTCTTCCTCTCTGCTCCTCTTTGTGTGGGGCAGAGGGGGAGGGGCTGCCTGAATGAGCCTCGGATTTAATGAGGGGAAAAGGAAAAGGAGAAGGGGCCTCTTAGCTGGGGGTCTGGCTGAAGCTCCGCCCCTACGCTGGCTGCAGCCCCAAAACAGAGACCGGCTGTCCACCAGGCGACCAGGTACTCCCTCCCCCCATACACCCTAACCTCCCTCAGTTCTTGGGTCTTCCAGCCCAGAATTGGGCCCAGGTGGCGGAGGCAACCCTAGCAGACCTCACTTAAGGGCGCTTTAGAAAGGCAGACAGGGACTTCCTCCCCACTCCCCATTTCGGCTCCGGGGCCCAGAAAGGAAGAGTCTGGAGAAGTGCCCAGGAGTTAGCCTGAGCCAGACTGAAAGAGGCAGAGACAAGGACGCAAAGAGTCCGACTGATGCGCGGACAGATGGACAGACACCGAACTGTGGACAATGACAGATAGAGAAGCTACAGAGGGACAAAGACAATCGGACAAATGAACAGACGGAAACAGATATCAAATACAAATGGACAAACTGAGGCAGACGGGCAGGGGCAGACAGACTGACGGAGAGACTGCCAGAGAGAGGGACAGAGAAGGACCCACGACAGAGAGATACAGGGACCAGGCAGGCCACACAAAGAGAGCGTCCGGGAGAGAGACCAAAGAAAGGCGCACCCCGAGGACGTCTCTAAGTTGAGCGCGGTGGGGCGACAACGCCCAACCCCACCCCGGGCGATGGGCCTCAGTCTCCCCAATTCCCTGGGACGAGTGCCCGCTGAGGGCACTTCCCTCCCTCGCCCCGGCGTGGCCTGACCCCTCCCCCGCGGTAACCCGAGCCCGGGACAGCAGCTGTCCGCGGCGCCTGCAGGCACAAGCTGGGGTTGGGGGTAGGCGGAGGTTGACCGAGGGGCGGGGAGGCAGGGTGTAGGGCCAGAAAGACAAGTTCGGAGGAAGGAAAACGAAGAAACTGGAGGAAGGTAAACGAAGAAACTGGAGGAAGAAGACAGGACAAAAGTGAGCAGGCGGCGCGCGGCGGGTGCCGGTGGGGACTCACGCAGCTGAGCAGGGAGCAGGCGCCCAGGCAGGCCCCCATGACGGCGGCGGCGGCGCGGGAGCGGGGTGCGGTAGAGGGGCGCCGGCCGCGGGATCCGGTCGGGCTTTCGGAGCCCTGGCCTCGCCCCGCCCCCGCCCCCGCCCCATGGCCCCGCCCCAGCCCCGCCCAACCTGCCAAAGTCGCTCGCCGTTTTCCGGCGGCGTTCGGGGCCTCCCGAGACTCACCTAGGGCAGGTGCACTGGGCGGAGCCTGTGGGGAAAGTGGGTGGAGCGGTGACTGCCGGGGCTGAAAGAGCCGCGCAACCGGTCCCGATTCTGGCGGGGGTTCGTGTCCTGGTCCCAAGTGAGGATTTGGGACCTGGGTTCGAGTCTCACGAGGCCACAGTGCGACCTCAAAACACTGTCCCCCTGCAGGCGTCAGAAGCCGAGAGGTGGTCACCCCTAACTCCTTCGCACTTGGCACAGAGCCTCTGCCCAATAGTTGAAGGTGTTGAGGATGAATGATTGGATAAACAAAGTCACTTTGCCTCTCTGAGTCTGTTTCTCCATCTGTAAAGTTAGGATGCCTACCTTACAGGGCTGTTACAACACATAGCAGATGGCTTGAGGAATGTGAGCTCCCCGTCGTTCATCTAAGACCCTGGCCTTGCACACTTTCAGCTGCCCTCCCCTCCATCCACTGGTTCCTCAAGCTCTACTGAGCCGCAGGCCACAAGCGCGCCCCAGAGCCACCCTCTTGAGTGGCTCATCCGTCCTCAGGATGCCCAAACCCTGACCCCCAGCTAAGAAGGTCAGAAGCCGCAGGTGGGTCCCATTCTGGGCAGGCTGTGCAGTCCTGAAGGGATAGATGGCGGAGACCCAGAAACTGGCGCTGTGATTACTCACTGCTCACCCTCCAGCCCTCTCCTCACTCAACTCTGGACAGGATAATGTTAGGAAAGGAAATCCAGACTCCGCACAGATGGCCCCAGAGCGAAAGATCCAGGCGATGCCAAGCGGAGCCACTCACTGTGCCAGGACCGTCGTCCAAATCCTCCCCACGCTTTCCTCCCCCAGCTCATGCCCAGACGATGTCGTTCTTTGTGAAAGCTCTTTTCCCCCTTATCCCCATTTCTGCCCTTTGAAGCCTTGCTCACATATCCCATATTTTCTCCATGAAGAGAACCACCACCACCTCCAAAACTCTCTCTGGCCGTTGAGGAATGAACGTTGCTCCAGCTTCCCCACAAGGTCCGTGTGCTTCTGCAGCATGAGCCTCCATGCTGGCCTCGCTTATAATACAAGTTACCACAAGGCTGCAGCATGTACCAAACTCTTTCGCCTACATGGTCCCATTCAAGCCCCACAATAACCCTGAAAGACGACTCACTCCCCCCCTAACCCCAGTTTATGGGTGAGCAAACTGAGACTGGAAGAAGGAAAGCGGCACGCCTATATGTAAACCGAGCGCTGGCTAAACTTTGCTTGTGATTATGCTGTTGTTACTGTTGCTTAAGATCACACAGCTCAGAAGGGCAGAGCCAGAAGACCTCCCCAACCTGCTTGATCTAAACCCAAGGCCTGTCCCCGACATGTCACTGCCTATCTTGGAAAGCAGAGGTGACAATATCCAGTCCACCTCTTTTCCTGTCCAATAATATGTGCAGTCCTTCCCTAGTCCAAGGCCCTTAGGAGACTTCGAGATGCTCAGGGACTGTCAGATTCACCTCTGACACTAAGGCAGTAAACGCTTGCTGAATACATGAATGTCTGAACTTTTGCCTCAGGCCCAGTTTCCTCATCCTGCTGGGACTGACCAACCCAAAAATAGCCCGAATGAGGTCCCCTCCCACCTAGCAGTTCTGTGCCTGGAATGCCACCAAGCAGCCTTCTCACAGCCTCGCCCCAGAGTCAACTCCCTTTGACACTTCTGTCCCAAGGGCCGAATTTTCCATCCCTCCACCCCTCCGTTTCCCATGAGCTGGTCAAGTAGAAAGCGCCCAAGACCAAGCAGGGCAACACCGGACACTCGTTCTGTCACAGCCTCTCACACCCTCTGGCATCCTGGGGACCACTCCTCCTTCTTGGACCTCCATCCCCTCCCCTGAAATGGGGTAGTTATCCTGCTTAACCTCACGGAGCAGTTGTGAGCATTGAGAAAACATTCTAAGAAATGGGCAGTTGTCTGAAAGGAGTGAGGAGCCAACTGCAAGTGCAGAGAAGACAGCCCCCTCTGGCTTTAGATTGAAATTTTCCAGGGCAGAGCAACATACTGCCACTGTCCTGGCCTCACCCTGCCCAAGACCAAGGTGGCAGAGGCTCTCATATCCCCCCGCCGTGTGTCACCGTACATGGAGGGGCAAGCGTGCTCTGCAGATACTCACTGTGTGCCCTTGTCCCGGTGACTCACCCTCTTTCAGCCTCACGCTCCTCATCTGTAAAATGGAGATAATCGTTTTGTGCTCTCGGTATCTCAGGAGACTTTTGAGGAGATGAAATGAGGCACTAGAGAGAGAAGCTTCATTTCTCTGTGTCCTGATCAGCTTCCCCCAGACTTGAACCTCCTGCTTGGGGCCTGGAGCACTGCCTCTCGTGCTCCAAAGGCAAGACCAGTCAGTAACTGTGCGTTCTTGGAAAGTCACCCAGCCTCTCTGAGCCTCGCTGAGGGCTGAGAGTCAGGACCGCTGCAGCCATTCCAACCATGCATGGCCATGCAAACTGCGTCCACTGAGAGAAATATGCAGGGGTTACTTGGTTCATGCCCCGGTGCCTATCAGGTCCTGTCGAGCTGAGCACAGACAGATGCTCAGCTCGACAGGACCCCGAGGAAGCAGGCTCTGGCTTCTTGGGCCAGTCACTCCAAGGATTCTTTTAATCTGCTCTCACTGAGCCTCTATGTTCAAATCTGTAACATAGGACCTATCCTCTGCTCTAGCCCCCAGTGACCCCCAAAAGCCCCAACCCATTCTTTCCCCATCCCTTCTCACCATCCTCCCATCCATGGGGACTCAGGTGGACTCTGGCTTTGAGGCTCCTGTTCCCTGGGCTTCACTCTCTGCACTGGCCTCTGCTTCCGACTTCTGATGCATTTACAAGGCAGCACTGAAATGATCCCTTATGAATATGCATGTGGGATAATGAGGGCTCGAGGTTGGAGGAGGATCTGGGAGAGGCGGTCACAGGAGCACCATCCACCCCCACCCACTCTCTCCATACTCAGCCCCCCATTGAGGCTGCCCTCCCTCCAGAAGGCTGCATGGGAGTTTGGGGCAAAGCTGATAAGAATATCCACTATAACTATTTTTAAGTGCTTACAACATACCAGACATACAGCTAAGAGCATCTCCTGTAAGGTGCTTTTAAGGTGGGAACTGTTTTTCCCATTTAACATAAGAAAATTGATGCTCCAAGAAGGCAAGGTTTTATCGGACTCCAAAGCTGGCCCTCTGAACCCCTGCTGCCTGGGAGCCCTGAGCACATGGTCAGGGGGCCACACTTGAATCTCACACTCTGACGGATGAGCTCACTGTGATCTTAGGTGACCAAAGCATTGGGAAAGGACAGGGGTCCTGGAATGGACTTCTTCTGGAGAGTGGAGAACAGACAGATAGGTGGGTGCACAGAGTGCGTATTCACACATATGTGCACCCACACCTGATGCACGTGTGAGCATAGATGCACACACAGTAAGCACGTGTGACAAGGGTGGCCCTGAGGATGCCCAGCGTATGCACCATTGTGCTGCTTTTGTTCCTTTTACAGTCAGCACAGACAGGCTCACTGTGTGCCAGACGCTGGGGATGCGGTGAGGACAAGGCCAGCACAGCACACTCCCTGCCCTACTGGAGCCACAGTTTGGTGGGCTTCGTACCCACATGCAGTAACGCTCTACCAGGGACATGTGAAGGAGGTTTTCTTGGTAGGATGTGCTAGGAGATGAGGAGACTGTGGGAGGAAAGGAAAGAGGTGAGATAGGTGGGGTGGGGCGGTGCAGGGGAGCCCCTGACACTTGGCCGGTTATGAGGGGTGCAGAGTAAGGCAGGACCTGGCACGGGTTCCGTGGGAACGACAGGTCTGAGGATTCTAAAAGGACTCCGGATGCTTCCCTCACAGACATCAAGGGTCTGCCATGAATGCATACGTGGGCACTGTGTGTGTGTGTGTGTGTTTAGCTTATTGCGTGTGTGCATGTGTGGTGTGTGGGGTGGACATGTGTGAATTGCAGGACATGAGTGAGGCATATGTGGTGTGCGCACATGGGGGCTTTACATGTAGGTATACGTGTGAGTGGGTGCGAGGCAGGGTTTGTTATTGTAGGGGAGGAGGTTGAGGGAAGAGAGTGTCATTTGGCCCAGGCATGACATTCATCAGCCTCAAAAATGCATCAAAAAATGAGATGGACGGAGGGAGAGATAGATGAATAGATGGGTGGATGGATTTGGATGGACTGGTGCATGGAAGGAAAGAAGGATGGATAGAGGGATGGCTGTGCAATAAAGCCAATGCTGTATTGCAAAATGTGCGTTGCAGATACTGGCGTGAGGATATGGGTACTCTCTGTACGATTCTTTCAGCCTCTCTGGATGCTTGAAATTTTCCATAGTAAAAGGTTAAGAAACAATGTAAACTCAGAGGAGGCTAGATGTTTAGACCCAAAAATCATGCATGAGATGGAAAGAATAGAAAGGTCTTCATGTAATTTTAAAAGAATATCCCATCACAGACCACAGAGCACTATGAATTTATGGTTTTTATAATTCCTGTAATCATCCTTTGAATCCCTGAATTGCATTGATTTTGTTTGTGAGAATGTGTATTAAAAGATGTTTATTTTTAAATAAAAACATGTAAAAATACCACAATTGTGACATTTCTTCATTTTTAACTGCTGGCAGCCTCAAAAGCCAGAACTGGCTTGTGCCTCTCCTGGCCTGTGTGAGGCCCTGCTGTGTGAGGTATGTACGTGGGTGTGCATGTATGTGCACAGGGAGAAATGTGTGCGCCCACGCCAGGAGCTCGGCCTCTTCCGAGCACCCAGGGGCCAGCACTGTTGCCGGGATGAGAGGATGTCTTAGGGCTGAGGGAGGGCAGCTACCAGCCCCAGGGCAGCCTTGGGGACCAAGAACTCTGTTATCTGAGGCGTGGACACGCTCA